TTGTTACTTATAATTTCTTTTAAATATTTACTTTTATTTTTTTTTAATATAAGTAAATACTATTTCTTTATTTAATTGTATATAGCAGGATATACAGTATATAATGGAAAAAAACAATATCTTTCACATGCATATTGCAATAAGTTTAATGCTAACTTGCCTATAGTAATTATCTAATCTCTATCAGAAAAAAAAATTTAAATTAATATACTAATTAAATAATGTTAAGCAACTGTGAATATCTATTTATAGTTTAAAAAAATAATCTTGTAACAGTTAAAAATAAAGTTAAATATATATTGAGAATAGTTAAAGTTGTTTTGATTAAATGTTTCCATAATAAGAGTTGAGATATCAACTGTAATATTAATATGGGAAGAGGTTGAACTAGTAGTACTGAAGAAAAAAAACTGATTTCTTGTGTTTTTTTGCTATTATTATTATTGGTATTGCTATTATTATTATTATTGCTATTGTTGTTATTGTAGATATTTTAATTTAGTTATAGATATTAGATATTAAAAAAATATTGATTGCAATTTTACAGGCTAGTTCTATTGAATGACAAGAAAGTGAAAAGAAAAATGGAAGTCAGTCAAACAATAATATCAAGTGGAGGAAGAAGAAGAGATATAGAAAAGAAAACTATAACAGCAACCAGAGAAGCAAGAGTATTGACAACTATGAACACTCTATAACAAAAGCCATTAACCAGAAAAGGACTAAATTTAAAGAATAGGCTTGGAAGAAATACTTGATCAATAACACATTGTTTGATATTATCAACAATATATTTATCAACATATTATAAATCCATTAATTAGATTCCAAAGAAATTCTTATGCACAAAACAAGACAAAAAGAGTGCAATTTATCTGATAAAAAGAATAATGGCATATAAAACACCCACCCGAAATTCAATTATCTCTATATATGGTACATATAAATAAGTGTGGAAGAATTGTAACAAGAGAAGTTCGAACGCGACTTTAATCACGTGACCGACGCTGTGACAAGAAACCTGTTTCTGGTTGGTGGTGCGCGATTATCTAATGATAGAGGATAAGGGGGGAATTGTGAAAAAGATTATGCAATATAATTACTATTATTCTTTAGTAGCATAGCCACCCTTAATAATGTAAATGATTAAAGTATAAAAAAGAAGAATATAGTGTTAATAAAAACAAATCAATTAATCAATTAATCATTTTTAACTCTCGACCAAATCAATACACTTCACACCTTTTATAACACTTACCTTGATTAACAGTCGCGCGAATTCTGTTATTTTGTAGTGATCAGTTCGCTGACGACTCTTACAATAGGTTAGCGTATGAAAGTAAAAAAATATAATAAATAAATAAAAATAAAAAATGAATCATACATTCTCTTTTTAACGTTAGGCGAACTAGAAGATATCAGAGAAGTTATCTCAATTCTGGTAAATATCAATACACTGTAAACCCTCAATGATGCATGATTATACCCTAGTTCACTTTTTTTTTCGGACAGAATTATATCGGTAAAAGAGATTTTACACTTTCATCAAAATAGAGATTCCATCTACCCTAAAGACGGAAACATTAACAAATATAAATTCCTTTATAGCATGATGACAGAACTTTCGAATTTACCACAAATCTCAATAAGACATTGTAAACTTTCTTCATTGAATAATATGTCGCCTGTGTAGACTCGTTTGTTATGTAAAATAAATTTCGCTTAACATTATTCTAACCAAGTTTTCTCAAGGCTTGATTCAAGTTGATTTTTTTGTTAAGCAAAACATTAAACTAGTAAATGACACGGGAAGGTCGTTATACAGTACATTGACACATCAAATACTTGACATGACCGATAGGCTACTTTGGATACTTTTTATACACTGTATCTTGTTTTTAAATTCACAGTTTTATTACATAAGAAAATGATCATATTACATAATATAATCAACATGTCTCATGGTTCCTGACCCAAATCAAAGAAAAATTATTGAAGCCAACAAAGTAGCCTCGGAGGAATTTCCACGACAGCTTGTCAATAAGCAATTCTTAAGTTTTTTTCGTAAAAAAAAGTTTGCTCAGAAATCCAACATTTATGTCATGTGATGCCCGTTGAGTAAGATCACTACCTAGTGCCTAGTTTGTTTTTTGTTGACATCTCGGCAATCCAAATTTACAAACTTGAAACCGGTGATGAAATAATCCTAGCACCCGAACTAGCTTATATTTTATTTGAAGCCAAGTGTGATCTAACCAATGAACTCAACACATCATACCTGGTAAGTTTGATGTTAAATATTGGAATTTTCAAATGGAAAAGACTTGTGGATTTAAATGACTATGATGTGGTTAGTTTGATTAGCAGAGATACAGTTATTTAAAATACAAAATATCTGTTAGGATGGATTGAGTTTCAGGCGCAGAAGAGACAAATGTCCCCGGCAAATAGGCTTACAGAAAAATTTATATGGTCATTACGGTGTCTTGGATTCCCATTTACGGGGTTGTTTTACTCTATCAACATAGGAAATAAAAAATAATTTCAGTGTTAATATAAAATCACATTTTTTACCTCCCCAATAACGTGCACTTGTAGAGGGTTAACTGTAATACATATTTTAGGGTCCAAAAATCCCAGCCAGCCAAATGATTAAACTTGCCAAATATAGTAATGAAATTATCCGCAAAGTTGTACCGCCAAATGTTCCGCAAATTATTCCGCCAAATGTTCCGCAAATTATTCCGCCAAATGTTCCACAATATATTCCGCATATTACACAGTATATTCCGCATATAATATTATTCCGCCAAATATTCCGCTCATACCCTATATAAAGGATTCTCTATCACTCACGGATAACGAAAAAAAAAATGTCATTAAGCAGTTATTACGATTATTTTCTAAATTTTAAGACTGTGAGTTTAACGGCTAAGGGATAGTCATGTGCGTTAGGATTCCAGGCCGTGGAACTTTTTATGCAATATATAATTTGGGCCGCAATAACTCGGTTCTCTCTTATAGTCGACACTAAACACAAGGTAAGAGTTATCCTTAAACGTTACTTTATTGTTCTTTATTTTTATTACTGAATGTACTCTCTAATCTGAATAAATGCTACTGAATTGCACATGTATTTATGCATACGCCTATTGTACATGTTATATCTGTTTACTATTCTACGCTATTCTAGGAATTCCCGCCTCTAAATTTTCCCACCATAATTTCCCACAACATATTACACAGTCAAAGTCGATATAACGGACTCTCGATATAACGGACACTAAGTAAAATCTCAATATACCGGATTGACGTT